CTGCTAACAACAGCTGAGACAGTGGCTAGACGGCTGGCAAATCCAGAACTGTGTTGTCCCAAGACGCTAAGACAGACGCTTTCACTTCCGTGGTCGATGCAGTGTGGCGATCGTATGTCACCTCCACCCCCGTGGTGACAGTTGTTCAGTGCGGGCACGTGAAACTGATTATCACTCCGCGTACTTTACGCATGACCAATACTCACAGCCTAAGCTATTCTCCCCCTCCCCTAGTCCAGTGATCTCAGCATGCCGATGTCGACATGCGAACACTGTGTGAAAACGATGAGTGTTAATCTCATAAGACAATCTAAGACTGTACTATTTTCATTCTAACTGTAATCGTACAAGCCCGATGATTAATTGCCGCAAAAAATATTTGCCAAAAAACTTTTCAGGTTAAACATGGGAATATTTGCACACCTTTTACCTTTTTGTCCATTTAGGCATGGTTCGTCGTCGCGCGACGCCGAGGGCTAACCGGGGTGGCAGGAAATCGGCAGTTAAGCCTGTTCTGGAGGACAATGATGACAGACGGTTTGTAAGACCCAACGCTATCAGTCCGCATCTGTTCTGTCCTATCTGCACAGAGGTCTTCAACCACCCATATCGGGCTCCTTGTGGTCACAGTTTCTGTTTCACGGTGAGTTGTCTGATATAAGTAACTTCACTGTTTATCCTGACATTGAATGATGCTAGCTAGAAAACGCTTTACGCGGGCGCTTCGTACATTCTTCTCCTTCGTGCAAATTGTTGTTCTTTTGACCTATATTTCAACACAGCCCCTTTTGTTAATACAGTGAATTCTGAGTGTGTTGTCATTAATGAAAGGGTCCCTTAGGCCTTAAATACACTATTTCTTATTATTATTTAAATCTGTTCGCGTAATCTCTTCTTTAGTGCATAGAACCATGGCTGAAGACGAATAACACCTGCCCCATCGACCGAAAGCATGTAGTCAGAGCCAGTCTCCACCACGACTTCATCCTGGAGAGCATAATTGGAGACTATTCCGTGAGTTGCAGCCTCTTCTTTCCTCCTTATTTGCCATTTTGAGCCCAGTAATTGAAACAAGGCCTTGTCAGGACGCGCCTTTCGAGGCGGTGTCTTTTTTATTTCAGTTTCACGAGAATATTTCGTTCTAGATCGAATGACTCCAGCATCCCTTCTCTTTTGTATGTAAGAAGTTAATGTGATTTTGTTGAAAAGCTTAAGTCGGG